CGATCCACATTGGCGCGTGCGTCAAATATAGGATTCCTTAACTTGTGCTCCGTCAGGAAACACATTCATAACTCTTTCTGATTTCCCCAGATCGTCTTGATGCCTCATGAGCCGGGAACTTGATGCAGATTTGATAGGTTGAAGGGATTACTCTCATGGCGTTAATCCACGGAGTTTCCATGATCAAGTTGTAGATCGCCGGGTGGTCGGCGACTGAAAATTCGATGATCTTGGTGACTCCTCCAGCTACCACGGGAATCCTGATCATGCCCATAATCATCGTTGTTTCTCTTGAAAATCTGGTTAGAGGCTTAGGGATTGCCATCACCTCGGAGAAGTTGATTCCCATTCTTTGAGTGTCTCCCTGAATATAAAATCCACCAAGCTCCCGGTGTCGATGAGTACTCTTGCTACGTCGTGATCTCAAATCGTCAGTTCGATCCCAGCGGATCGGTATGCGGCCTGTCTATTCCCTCTGTTTCCTCTTCGGCAAAGGAGGTCACCGTATTTGGGAGATTGGGTTGTTCGGTCCAGTTCTCCTTTGCCTCAGCTCGGCGCTGATAGTCTTTGATAGGGGACACCATGTCTTGGTAGTACTGGGATCCGCCCATAATCATGTTGATCCTTTGCCTCGGCTCGGATCGTTCTTCGAGTTTGCCTCTCCTATCTCGCTTGGTATTATCGCCTCGTTAGGGTGGATTTGTTGTTTCTGTCGCGCTGCTCGGCTCGACTCCCTCCTTTGGTTTGGTGGGGGCGAGATCTTCGAGATTCACTGCGCTCTGGAGTTCTCCGGCTGCCATCTTTGCTGCAGGCTTTGCTCCCCTAGTTCGGCATTGCGCTGTTGAATGCCCATGGGTTTGGTGATATTCGCAAAATGATTTTTCATTGTAGTTGTTAGGTCTCCTCACCCAAGTGTTTTTACGCGGCTCGCCCCCACCACGGCCAGCACCTACTTGATAATTGTGGGCGCCATCGATCCCTGGTTCTTCCGAATTCTGCGTCGTTGCGTTGTTCGTGGAATTATCTTTCCTTGCAGTGCGCGTCAGAATCAAGTGCCGAATCGCTGCTTTTTCATCTCTTCTTCGTAAAATTCAGCTGTTTTCATCATCTCCTGATTTTGAAAGTTCTTCTTAACTCCATAGTTGTTCATTTTATCACCATAAGGTTCAATAGGGTTTCTCCAATCATCAAAGTTAGATTGGTAATAAAGGCGTGAGCCTCATCTACAGATCTAGTAGAGAAATCTCCATTGCTAGAGGTGTCAAAAGATGTTTTTAACTCTTCATTGACTACTTGGTAGAAAATTGTCAATAAATTTTCTTCAGAAAATCCATGATGTGGACAATCTCTCTGGTAGTCTCTAAATCTTTTCCAAGCGTCGTAGAGGTCTTCTGTGTCCTCCTACTGAAATTTATGTATCTTGTTCCTTAAGAGATTGGAACGATCTTTAGTGTAAAAGTGACTTAGGAAAGCTTCTCTACACTCTTTCCACGTCTTTATTGACGCTGGTGGCAAAGTTTTTAGCCATTTACTAGCTCTACCAGTCAAAGAAAATTGAAAAAGAGTGCACATATGGTAATCTACATTTTTTTTGCTATGGTTGAACACAGTTCTTCAAATGATTCAATATGATCTATTGGGTGTTCTGTGGGGTAACCATTATATTGTTGTTGTTTCAGTAAACTAATGTAGTGTACCTTAGCTTCAGAATATCCATCCTCGGGTAAGGGTGGTCGAATTGCACGTCTGTCTTCAAAGAATTAGTGAGCTGCATCACATTCACTAATCAGTTTTTCTCCTTTCTTGGTATGTTTTGGTTCTCCAATCGCATCATTGCCATCATCGATTGATGCAAAGATGAGCCGTCCGGGGAGCCTTTCACTTCCCAAGTGCCAATGGTTCCTCCATCAAAGTTTGAGTTGGTTGAGTCACCTTACCTGTGGACTTGGTCTTGTCTCATTTGGGAGCTGAAAGTTATAATGGTTTAAGTGTGGATATGTTCCTGGCACCGAGATGAACACCGGGAATACTGACCTCGGTGTTGGACACACTTTGAGGATCTTGTGGCATTGACCCCCACACCAAGGACCACACCGAGATAATGCACCCCAGTGCTAGTTGAGCCTTGCACCAATCCCTTTTCATGTTCAGCACCGGCCATAACATCGGAGAAGAGCACCTCGGTGTAGTTTGCTCCGTTTTAACCTATTCATCAACACCGACCTCTACACCTGCCAAATGGACCTCTGTGCTAACCCCAGCGAACCAGCCTCTTTACAACACCGGGCACAGCATTGGCCAAAGCCTGCCCGGTGTAATCCCCACCGATTCAGCATTTTCTCAGCACCGGCATCAACATCGGCAAGATGCATCCAGGTGCTAGCTCCTCCATCTATGTTTTCTCCACAACACCGGCCTCCACACCTGGCAAAATCATCCCGGTGTCAGCACATCAGACACAAGATCCAGCTGAACCGGGTCAGTACCCAGTTTGTCCTGGGCTGACCCGGTCCAAACCCTTTTGCTATAAATAGTTTTTTTTGGGAAAACCCTAAGTAATCTTTCATTCTCTCTTTGTTTTCTTTCCTATTCAGTGAAAAAACGAGTTTGTTAAGAGACATCTCTGGGTTTTAATCAATCAAAAGCTGTTTCCTTTCATCTTTTCTATCTTATTAATCATGTTTAACATCACCTCTTGTAAAAGATTAGGTGTGGTAATCATGATTAGTGAGTAGTCTTCTTTTAAGCTTTTAGGTATGTAGATTAGGATGCTTAGATGTAGATTAATGACTGTTTAGGCTTAGATTCTCTTCTCCTTTCCTTAGTTAGCTGATCCTAATGCTAGATCCTTGCATATAACTTGGGTCTAGAATCTGGGTCTTTCATGCACCCAAAGTGTTTGATGAAATGCCTGAATGAAAGCTAACTAAGGATTTATGCATTAATGCCATGATGATGTTTGTTAATTGCATAAATGACATATTAGAGTTGATTCTTAATGCTTACTAGTTCATATTTCACAAATGGGAATTTGTTTTGAAAGTGGATTAGTATAGAGATTAATATTTTCATGAGAGGATTAATCTAACTTTAAACTCTAAGTTGATTGGATTAGAGATCATGTGATTGCTTGCTATGTCCTTCTGTGTAAGATTCAGTCTTTCTTAGCTCCTATTTTGATGCACAAAGAGGCTGTCTGGTCATTTTAGACTTGGAACCTTATGCTTGTTGATTGCTTATTCACTAATGGGAATTAGTCTTGATTAAGTAATTTGGAAAAGGATTTCTGTCATGAGAATGAATTTATCTGATTTGGAAGTTTAGATTAAAGAATTGCAAATATTGCATTGTTTGCTTAGCATCATGAATTCATATTTAAAGCATCCTGATCAATGATAAAGCACCCTGATCAATGATCACATCTAGAAGTTTAGCTTTTTCTTTATTTGAATTTGAGTCTTTGTTTGCTTATCTTGTTTGTTTAGTTCTTAATTACTGTTTGTTCTTGTTTGTTTTATTTTAGGTTTTAGATCACATAATCACTAATCTGTTTCATTAGATTTGGACTAAGAATTAATCCTCATAGTCTTAGTGTCTAAAATCTCTCCATTTGGATTAACCTTCAACTGCTATAACACAAGAAGTTAATTGACCTTAGTAGGCTAAAAACCTACTATCACTTCTGCCGGTGTAATTTCTCTGACAGACCTTTCTTTTTTTACTTTTCTTCTCTGTTAGTTTTCGATAAAGTCAATAAGTATTTTTGTTCGAGCTAATCGTGATTTTTGTTTAATCCAAGGAGATAGACAAAGAGAACACATATAAGACTATAGAAAATCTTACGCAATCTCTCGAAACTTTCCCTTTGCCGTCTCCGATAGTAGCAATTACATATATAGTATTCTCTTTTTTTCTTCACTATTTCCAATCCAATTCGTCATTTTATCTATGCAACCTGCAGCTTGGATTTGCCACTGTCTTGAACTTCCTATGTTGATCAAAATCTGGCATTCATTTACAAATATTCTTCATTTATGCCGCAAAATTTCATCGATCGATCATGTGGGATTGCTCTGGGCAATGTGTCCACAAATCCTTCGTCCGAAGGGATTTTTTTCTGCTTTCCAAACTGACATACATAAATTGTTGGTTTTCTTGTTGGATTGTTATCCATCTCAAGGATAAATGCGTCCAGTGCCATCATATTTGGGATACGAGAATATTTATTGTGGAAAACTATGTTGTAAAGGATGGTTGCAAGAAATAATCATGAAATTTTATGTCAAAAGCATTGTTTTCATTTGGTTGGAATCTTCAAGTTTCAATTCAACAAAGAGACAAGATTCAGATTCATCATCAATAATATTTTTAATAATATTTTATTAATTAAGATAATGCTAAATGTATTTTAGAATTTTATCGGAAAGATATTAATCAATAAAAATTTTATAAAAGGGAGATATATTAAAACTTCTTAAAAGAAATTTTGGTTATTTTTTATCTTTTCACTGATATTATTTTAATTTCTTTTATTTATGTATAAGTAGTTGTATTAAGAATGTTTTTGTAACTTGTACATTCTTTATGCTATTAATATAGTTTCTTTTGCTGGAAGAAAGGGGGTCACACGTCAGTGGCCAAGTGTCGACAACAACTGCTTCATGGATGCACCTTTCCGTTCCACAGACGCAACTTGCCGTTCGCAGCCGCTTATTAATCCCTACTGCGTAGGGTCAACGTTTAATCCAATAAACAAAACACCACAAATCAAACCATAATTTAGATTAAAAGTAAGATTGAAAAGAGGGGGTATTTTAGTTTATGTCGGCTATATTTTGGATTTTTAATCTATAAAAAAAAATATTGGGAACAAAAGAGTGGCGGCGAAGCCACATAAGGCATATCTTTAGCCGCCTAACCTGACACATTATCTTTTCTTCCTTTTTCCTCTCTTTCTATATAATCAAACAAACGAGACTCGTGTTGTTGAATTAGGGTGGATGGAGGTTGAATACTAACGAAACCTAGACCAACCTATGGAGAAAAAAGGACAGGTCATCAACGAGAAGCGTAAGTGGAATCCGATGAACCCTAAAGAGAGGCGGTACAAAGGGATAAGGATGAGGAAGTGGGGGAAGTGGGTGGCTGAGATAAGAGAGCCCAACAAGCGATCACGGATCTGGCTTGGTTCTTACACGACCGCAGTTGCCGCAGCACATGCTTATGACACTGCCGCGTTTTACCTACGTGGTCCCTTGGCTAGGCTCAATTTCCCCGGACAGGTTTTACATGACGGAAACGGCAGTGGCGGCGTAGGAAGAGACATGTCTCCGACGTTTATACGGCAGAAGGCGGCGGAGGTGGGAGCTAGAGTCGACGCAGAGCTTCGGTTGGAGGATTCCGGATCAGTGGAAAAACCAGACGTGAATATGTTGCCGGAGGCTGGGAGAGTCTGAGAGGCAAATAGATTGTGATTTATACGTTGTAGTTTAGAGGTTGCGGATGTTGGGAGACAAGAGTCAAAACAGAGGTCCTTACTTCTGACTCAGAAGAGGAATACTGCATAGTTTGATATTTTGTTTTATGACTTAATATAATTTTTACAAACGCTATCGCTCTGCTTAATCGTAGATTCATGGTTTCTCCATTTCTAAGATTTTGGAGCATTATTTGGAGGTGATCGAGAAAGGGTTTAAGAATTTGGGAAAAAATTATTAGGAAGAAGAAGATACATTATTTCTTTAGAACAATTTTGAACAAATTACAGTACAAACAAGAGGAGAAGGAGGGATTTATACCTTCCAAACTACAAAATATCTATAATATCATATACTATTAATTAAGTTGTGAATTTCTGATGTCCTAATTTTTCTTTCCATTTCAGTTTTAAAAATTTTAATCCTCTAATGCGACAATGGATTTTTAAGAAACCGACATTGAATGAATCGTGTGACTCTGTTCTAGATTAAAACATGATTATTCGCTCATATGTCAAACACACGCTTAGGTTTCATTAAGCCAAGTTCTTTATACCTTTAATGACATCGGTAAATAGTTCGGTATAACACTACAAGAAAACTACCACTTTGCATCGAATTTTACAACCAAAAAAATTGTGTAAGTAAGTCTCTAACGGGTATATTAAATCTATTTTTGAATTCTGTCTGTAGTTTACATTTTTGATTTTTTTATTGGTTGATAATCATTATATGATTTAATTGGTTGATAATCGTTATAATTTAATTGATTGAATTGATTAATTTTAATCATTTAAACGATATATTAAAGATTTAAAACAATTAAATTAAAAAAGAAACATGGGTTAAAATTTTATCTGTCGAATAATGTGATCTAAAATTAAAATTTAAAATAGAAAAACATTATATGTACATCAATTCCAATATATTATTTTCACAGAATAAGATGATAGCCGTGTTGTTTTATAGATTCAAATCTCATTATTCGTTTAATTTTATTTATTTATTTATAGAGTTTTGTTATAAATCAATGTTGGAAATTAATATTTGTTAAATATTTTTCAAAAGGAAATATGTCATATTTTCTTTTATTATTATATGGAAGCTTTACTTTTTCTTAATTAATAACTATGGAATTCATAAAAAGATAATATCGTATATAAAATAAGAATTACCTTTAATATTTTTCATAAACAACTAAATCCTATGTGGTTTAGACGTATAAATATGAGTGTTTTAAAATAACCGTGTCATAATTTATAGTTTAGTTTCTCTGGTAGGGTTTTGTGGTTGTTTCTTCGTTTGTAGCTTATTCTTTGAGTGCTAGAGTTTTTATAATAGCATTAATTTTTTGATCTTTTTAAAAAAGCTTCGTGATGTTTGTCTACTTGCATACAAATCTAACCATGTGTTCGTCTAAGTACAGCTTTGATCATCCATCTAAAGTGACGAGTATTTGGGAAGTCCCGCCTACTGCTTCTGGTATAGATTTAACTCTCTTCAAATTAATAATAAATATGATCTTTATGTTTTTTACGATTTAAATGTCTTTATTGACGATGATGAATCTACTGAAGGATCTGATGGTTCAAGTGATCACTCGGAAGGTGATAGCGGTGTGATGAAGATGATGACGATGCTGATTCAACTGATGATGATGACGATGACGATGAAGATGTTAAGTTGGATGATGAGACTGAGAGTGACGATGATAGTGAAGATCACCAAAATGTCGAGCTGAATGATATACTCATCGAAAAAGATATTAGTGTTTCTGGTCACCAGAATCCGGTGTGTACTTATACTGTGTCTGTTGGTTCAATGTGTTTTGGAGGGTGTGTGTCCCGTTTAAGACCTTCCAGACATTGTTGTACTATCTTTGTTAAGGTTTTACAGACGTGGGTGCATAGACTAATTTTGAAACATTCTTCTCTGGAGTTCATATTATCGGATGAACAAGTATTTATTATATTATGAGAAAAATCTATACTAGTATTTGCGAAGTGAATTCGTCTGTGGTTTAACGCACAACTTTTTGTGTCGTTTTTTTAATAAAATTCTGATGATTTGATTGGTTGATAATTGTTATAATTTGATTGGTTGAATTAGTTAATTTTAAATCATTAAAATCGATATTAGTTGCTTTAAAAATGGAAAACTTCTTTAATTCAGGTAAAAAGAGCCTGAGTCATAATCTCTTCTGTCGAATAACTTGGCCCAAATTTCAAACCCAAAAAAATTATACATACCTTCCAATACGTCATTTGTGCTGAATGAGATGGTAGCTGTGTTGGTTAAGTGCTTTGTCCATTTATCGAAGGTTCACGGGTTCGAATCCTGTGATTAGTTTTTTTTTTTTAATTGTTAGAATTTAGTTATAATTCGATTTTGGAAATATTTTGTATTAATTAAATATTTTATAAAAGGGAATATTCCATAATTTCTTTGTTATTATCTAGAATGGAATCTTTACATTTTTATTATTAATAACTACGAAATTCATGGGAAGATAATATTGCATATAGATCAATAATTACATTTTAGTATTTTTCACAAGAAAATAAACCCTAGGTTGTTTAGACGTATAAATATGAGCGTTTTCAACCAAACTTCTCATAATTTACGCATTAGTTTTTCTATTAGGGTTCCGTGATTATTTTGCTAGGGTTTTTATAATAGGATTAACTTTTTGGATCTCTTTAGAAAAGATTCAGCATGTTTGTCTATTTGCATGCAAAGCTAACAATGTGTTCGTCTAAGTACAGCTTTGATCATCCATCTAAAGTCATCATCACTTGGGAAGTTCCGTCTACTGATTCTGGTATATATATATAACTATTATCAAATTTAATAATAGTATGTATGCTCTCAACTTTTTTAGATGAATTCTAAAAATTTATACGACTATAGGTTTTGATAACCAGGCTTATGCTCGCGGGTTAAAGTCTGTGTTGAAATTGCATCGTCAGAATATGGATAACAAAGACATGACTGATTATCGTTACATGACTCCATACGTTTTTGTGGATATCACCAAAAAAAAAGGTTGTTGAACCTCTTTAGGTTATTCATTCAATTTATAATACTTATTAGTAGTTGTTTGTATTTGTAGGTTATCCATGCAAGTTACTTATCGATTCTGCTATCGATGAATGGACCTTGCGGACATATAATCCTGTTATCAAAGGTAGTCCTGTCTATTAATCTTACAGTTTTTACCTTTTGTAATGCTATATCTTAGCCTTTCAGATGCATACCCTTATTATATATTAATCTATGAACGTTTTCAATTTTTATGTAGATATTGATTCTTCGTATCATATATCTATTCTTGATCACGAGCTTTTTATCAAAGGAGGTATTTCTGCTCTTAATGTAATATATTTTTGTTAATGATGTATATTAAGTTTTTATGTTTGTTCTAATGTTTGTTTTGTGCATTTAGGTTCTGATCGTGTTAATACGAGTGATCATGCTCAGAAGACTTTTCTATGGGATTTTGCGAGGAATGCTTGGGTTATGAATAAAGAATCTAATGGTTTCAATTATTTGTTTTTTGTTTTGAACACTGTTTTTTTTTTAGAATACTAATTACACCGTTTTTACATATATTTATCTATGCAGAAGATAGTGACTCTGATGATACCGAGGTTTTATTGGGTCGTGGTACTGATGATGATTATGGTTTTGAGGATTATATGGGGTCTGATTCAGAGACGGGTGAAGATACTGATGATATGGACCAAACAGATGAATATTATTCTGAGGATGATTTTATTGACGACGATGAGTCTTGTGAAGAATCTGATGGTTCAAGTGATAACTCAGAAGATGATAGCGGTGATGACGAAGATGAAGATGGTGACGATGCCGATTCAACTGATGATAATGAAAATGATGATGAAGATGTTATGTTGGATGATGAGACTGATATTGACGATGATAGTGAAGATCAGCGAAACGTCGAACTATATTGACGATGATAGTGAAGATCAGCGAAACGTCGAACTGAGTGATATACTCATCGAAAAAATATTAGTATATCTGGACACCAGGATTCGGTGTGTACTTATACAGTTTCTCTTGGTTCAATGTGTTTCGGTAGGTGTGTTTCACGTTTGAGTCCTTCCAAAGATGGTTGTACTATCTTTGTTAAGGTTTTACAAACGTGGGTGCATATGCTAATTTCGAAACGTTCTTCCATGGAGCTCATATTGTCGGATGAACAGGTATTTATTGTACTATTACACACAAATATTCTAAATTTTTGTTGGTGTCTAATTGACTGTTTTATTCACAGGGTGTAAAAATTCAGGCCACTGTTAGTGATGGTGAGATCAGTGTTGCATCGTCTCGCATAGATGTTGATAGTTGGATTATTATCAGTCGTTTTTCTGTTATTGATTGTGAGGATAGTTGTAGACCGACTTCTCATAGATACAAAATATTGTTCCTACCATCAACTATCATTGACAAGACTTCACGTAGATGTGAAAATGCCTATTTTGACTTCGTTGATTTTCAAAGGATATTGGATCGTGCCCATGATGATGACTATTTAGTTGGTGTGTTTATTTTCGATTTAGTTATTGAATTTCGTTATTATTATCTTACTGATGTTAACATTGTTTAATTTTTGTTGTCTATGAAGATTTGATAGGTCGTGTTTTAAATGTAAGTCTATCTAGGACGTCCTGTGATTTACTGACTGGAGAGCATTCTTTTCCTTCATATGGCAGTCTATGTAATGATATATGTGATTCCGAGATATGGGGTTCATATTCAACCATCACGTTCGGTCTTAGAGATAAACGGTACTGTCTGCTGAATGTTTTAAACTGTATAATGTCGTTTTAATTATTCTATCCATCTGAATATGTGTGGCATGTTTTAATTTAGTGGTGTTGATTTGAGTTGTGAATTTTTCGGTGAGATGGCGAAAAACTTTTATGCATCTTGGAGACGCTGTGATCAAGATATCATTGTGTGTGTGCTTAGATGGGCCGTTATTGATTATTTTGGAGGTATTTTTAGTATACTAATTTATATTCTCTATGTTCGTTTCGTTTTATTGTTTTGACTCTGTATTTTGTTTTATCAACATAGGCAAGATCACTATATCTTCCACATCTCCTACTAAGTTCGAACTCAATCCCCGTATTCCTGAGTTAGATGAGTTTTTGGAACAGTGAGTTTCTAATACTTAATGTTTGTATTTTGATTTTTTAGTATTAATTCGTGGTCACCTTCTCTC